TTCCAATGTAAGAGATGATGAATTTGCTGCATTAACAGACCATGGAGGCTCTAAACCCCTATGATTACTTTGCTCTGTTTATTCCATCAAGTATTGCTTTCTGTAAAGAATCTTGATAAATATTGTATTAAGATTCTTAAGTATTTTTAAAAAATAATGAAACTTTCCCATGTACAGTTACCCACAGAACGTAGTAGGCATGTTGTCATTTGAGCAGCGCTGCAGGGCTACCCGAGAGCAAGCCTGCTACACTTCAAGGGTTTGTCTTGGGTCCTTACCGTTATGAGTCTGAGGAAGCTACCGATGAAGCGGCCCTGGACAGATAGGGGTGTCCCACGGGAACACAATGGAAGCTTAACTTGCCAGACCTACAACTGTTAAATCCCACAAACATTAAGGTGGGTTACTAAATAAGTGCCTCCAGGTAATTAATTATTCTAGGAATATATGCTGAAAATAGATTCTTGGAGACCTACCTGTTTATTTCTGATTCTCTCCCTTTCCTATATATTAGTCTCTTCACTTTTGCTATTATTTGTTTTTCTTTTACTCTTAAAACTGTGGCAGAACTTTCGGCATTTTTGTTGTTCAGCTTCAAAACTAATTAAAGACCAAAATGAAAAATGTAAGGCAGAGACCGCTTAGGGACTGAATTCTAAACTGATCAGTAGTGAGAAGAATGGCAAATGTCATACAAATTCCCACTGTCATTTTTAAAACAGAGAGATGCTCTTTAGATATGCAGAGTTCATCTGTGATACGAACTGGAGAACAAGAGCTGTGAGATTGCTCCATAGTATCTGCTATTTATAGGTAATACTTCCGTTAATTCACCAAGTTAACTTTCTATAACTTTGTTTTTTATTTTGAAGCATAAATACATTTTCCTGTGAAATATGTCAGCTATGGCAAGAAATTTCTCATATTTTCCAAAATAAAAATTGACAGTTTTTGAGCAATTCTTCAACTATCTTTAAAGACTATGAAAGTTTTCTTCTGTTTTATGGAGGGGAAGAAGTTGAAGAGTCAAGGTATGCCTGGATATTACAGATTAGCCTCTAACTCATGAATTTCCCACTCCAACCTCCCAAATACTGGGTTTAGAGGTCCGGTCCATGACACTTGACTATTTTCTGGCATTTGTTTTTTCTTTTTCTATGCATAATGCTTCCAAACAACAGTGGGAGTTACTGTTCTGGCGACAAGCTTCTAAAATATAAAATAGCATCATTCACAGAACTTTTTTTCTATGTTCAATAGAAAAATCACATTAAATATGTTTTGAAAACTTGTCTTGAATACCAGGTTAGGTGGCAGGAGCCTCCTGCTCGCACAGGTGACAATAATATAGTCAACCAGGGCAGGATGCCTTTGTCCAAAGAACATTAGGTGTCACACCTTCTTCCCTTTTATCAGCACCAGTAAACAAGAATAATCCCAAGAATGGATGTCGTACTCCCTCCACATACTGCTAAGATTTTAGGACTGGTGAATAGACTCCTTATGCTCCCAAGTCCCCGCCAGGCTCCTGAACACTGGCTTCTGTGGATCTCACCAATATCAGAATCTAGTTTGTGTTTAGTGATTAACCTTAGTTTCCTAATGTCATTGATGATCCCAGTATTCTCCTGGACAATGGGAACAATCCTGCGTCCTCCAGGTTAAGTCCAACTCAGTCTTTCTTTTCTCAGGTCTGCTAAGGTTCTTGTTACTTAGTATGCATCAATAGATAAACTTTTGATTACCTCAATAAGCAGATCCAATCCAGTAAGTATTCCAATAACTAACTTTGATGGATAAGATCTTTGCTTAATTTCAGATGAAATAGAAATGTTTGGAAATTCAATTAGTTTTGCTACATTTAAACTGCACAGAAATACCCATTTTAAGTAAGCAATCCATTTTGTTCAAAATGCATGGACTTATCTCTTACAGCAATGGTAACATATTAAAATCATGTTTGCATTTTTATAAATGATTAATTTATAAGAAAACTATTTAAACCAAGACAGGCAGAGAGGCCCCGCTCCCTTTTTCTTTTTAATTATTCTGTATTTAAAGCAGTTTCACTTTCATTAAAGGTTATTTCTTTCTATCATGGTTATTAACTAACTCCAACAAACTGATCTCAACTAACTGGAAAGAAACCGAATCCTTTCATTTTGTGTTCTTGCATGTACATGTGTGTTATGTGTAAATGCACAATTGTACAGTTGCCCACTCATGCATTATACTAAATTCCATTGCCCGTGACTTCTAAAGTATTTGTTGAGATACTTAGTCATGCTTCTTCATCAATATAATAAAATGCCTAGTCGTAGCATTATGAATGCTACCATTTTCACGACTCAATATTTTCAGGATTTTTTTTAAAGGAAAAAAGATCCTAATAGAAATTACTTGGAAATAATCATGGGATTAATGAATCTGTAGGCCTTTTAGTTCTACACTGCAGCCACATTTAGAGTCTCTCCTTTCTGTAAAGCTCAGAATAAATCCCTTGACGCAAGAAGAATTTAGATACTGATTACTTGCGATTGGTTCCTGGTGATTTGCCCTTAATAATTTCCAGTTGAATTTAATGAAAGTATGATTCCTGAAAAGCCACTTCATTAAAATTGCATTTTTCCCCCTTTAAGTGTAGTTTCAGTCATTTCACCCATTTTGCGGTGTATTTTTCTCCTCTTAAAAAGTAATGATTGAGAAAGCAGAAACAATTAGGGGAATCACTTTAGTTCTTCCTAGAGCTCTGCTTAGCCCTTCCCGTTTCTCAGAATGGAAGGATAAAGGTGTACTTCTTTGGGGTTCACAATACTATTTCCCAAATTGACGAGATTGTTTTAAAGTATATACAGTCTTAAAAACATGTGAAGATCTGAAGTGAAGGATCTGTTGCATATACAAAGGAAGTAAGATCTTAAGTATTTTTTACTAAGCAAACACACACATACACATACACACACACACACATATACAGGTTGATTAACTTGTGCAGCATTCAAACTTCATTTCACTGAGTTGGTGATTTGCAAATGAATATCTGCATGGATCCCTTTTAAAAATCCAAATGCAAATGAGTACAACTGCAGTAAACTATATTTGCAAATGAATCCTGTTGCTTTATTCATTTATTGTGTAATTACTGCAATCCTTCCCACCTTGTTTTCAGTATTTCTTAATCATTAAGTCGGAAGCATGACAGCAGTGCCAGCCCTGGCATGATTTTCTTTGACTAAAACCTTGTAAATTAACACAATTAGCACAGCATCCTCCTGCTAATTAACTTCCACTGTCTGGTGCAGTGGTTTTGCAAACAAGGAAGAGGGAGTCAGAAGGGAATCAACATGCCATTCTGTTACCAAACTGTGTGTTCTGTTCAGTTTAGCTCGGCAAGTCAAAGCTGGCCATGTCAGAAGCCAGAGTCAGGCAATGAGGAGCTGAAGTGGCTCAGGGAGGAGAGCAGAAGGGGTAGGAGCTGTCAACACTGCTTGGGGAATTCAGAAGGGAACCAATGCCACAGCTGCTTCATTTAGACCAGACCCTCTTCTTATCTAGGATTCTTTGCCAGAGGGCACAAGACGGTTTTCAAAATTCACTTTGGGTAATACAAAAGAGATTAAGGAGGGTATCTTAATACAGCTGTAGCAGAAAAGGAAGTGTTTGTTCCGAGTGAGTGGAGATTAGAGTTAAGATGAACCAGCACTGAAAAGTAGGAGAATGGAGTTCCAATGCTCCTTGGTAACTAACCATGTGAAACCCTCAAGAGCACATCTTACATGAGTCGCTTTGGGCACTGCTTTTGTAGTGTGTGAAGCAGGTCATTTCTAAGGTCTTTCAAAAGGTGTCAATTAAAATGACTGTCTGATTCTAATAGCTGAGTATTTTCTCCTAAGTCGGAAAATACTCATTTCAGGGTTACTACAGAGTCGCCGGCTTCAGTTAGCATTCTGGCAGGTGATGGAATTACTCCTATGACCTCACTGCTGAGTCGTATTCTCCCAGTTTCTGCCACACATGGCTCACTATAGAAATGTAAGGAGTTAGTTAGTATCCGGATCCTCTGCTCTCATCGTCCCTTCTTGCCCGTTTTCTCTTTCTCTTTTTCTGGTATACATGTTCTTCCCTCCCCTCTTGGTACCTCAGAGTCTATAAGGGGAGGAGGATTATCAGAGGCGGAGGGAGGACAACAGGAGAAGCCCCACAGACAAGTGAAGCTTGTTTTTTTTCAGATTCAACAACAGAACTGAGAGGCAGAAAGGAGCCAGTTGTAATTCATACCGAGTTGTAGGCTTTGTGCGATGAAAGCGCTGGAGCGCTGCCTGGGAGATTGCTTTGCTGCACTCCACGAAGCAGATTTGAAACTGTCGTGGACCACTTTAGATGAGAGTTGGATTATGGAATGACCTGCTATGTCTGTGTCATATTGTTCTGTGCAGGGAGCATTATACTGTGCTAACTAGGTGTTCAGTACCAAATAAGATAGGTATCCCAGATGCGGTCTGTCAGCTGTGTCTCATTTTTATATTGTTAAAATATAAAACAGAAACTGATGGGGAGAACCAAATAACTAGGTGGCATACATGTTAGCAGTATTGCATGCCAGATATTAAAATGTATGTGTGTTATCTCAAGCAGCCATGATTGAATTCTAATTTGCCAGTACTGTGTGTTCATATACATTAAGTGCACGTGTGGTTGACAAGTAGTTTGATGGGATTAACAACAGTAAGTCTTGCATATAAATATATATATTTGAATTTGATTTTCTACAGTTTTCTTTTACACTGGATTTATCTTTTGTAGGGTTGAATTTTTCCCCATTTTGAAGAATTCATATTTTGAGATCACAATAGATATTACCACCTGGGAAGATCCTTACCCATGTCCATATTATTAAAGGGAAATAATAGCTAACAGATGTAGTCAGGGAGGAAGCTTTTAAGTGTTCTGATGGATGTCTAAGTAAATTTACTTTCTTCCCCTTCCCCCCATATCATTAGGCTTGAAGATGCAGTGGACGCCGGAGCATGCCCAGTGGCCAGAACAGCACTTTGACATCACCTCAACCACTCGGTCTCCTGCCCACAAAGTTGAAGCCTACAGAGGTCATTTGCAGCGCACCTACCAGTACGCCTGGGCGAATGATGACATATCTGCTCTGACTGCATCCAACCTTCTGAAAAAATATGCAGAGAAGTATTCTGGCATTTTGGAAGGTCCCGTAGACCGACCTGTACTCAGCAATTATTCAGACACACCATCAGGACTAGTGAACGGTCGGAAAAATGATAGCGAACCCTGGCAGCCTTCCTTGAATTCAGAAGCCGTTTATCCTATGAACTGCGTTCCGGATGTCATCACAGCCAGCAAAGCCGGTGTCAGTTCAGCCCTCCCTCCGGTAGATGTCTCTGCAAGTATAGGAAGCTCCCCTGGGGTGGCCAGCAACCTGACGGAACCAAGTTACTCTAGTAGTACCTGTGGAAGTCACACAGTACCTAGTCTTCATGCAGGGCTCCCATCTCAGGAATATGCTCCAGGATACAACGGATCATATTTGCATTCTACGTACAGTAGTCAGCCCACACCTGCACTTCCTTCGCCTCATCCATCCCCATTGCATAGTTCTGGGCTCCTGCAGCCACCGCCCCCTCCTCCTCCCCCACCAGCCCTGGTCCCAGGCTACAACGGGACTTCCAATCTCTCCAGTTACAGCTATCCCTCTGCTAGCTACCCTCCTCAGACTGCGGTGGGGTCTGGGTATAGCCCCGGTGGAGCGCCCCCTCCTCCTTCAGCATACCTGCCTTCAGGAATTCCTGCTCCTACCCCGCTGCCCCCCACTACCGTTCCTGGCTATACCTACCAGGGTCATGGTTTGACACCCATCGCACCCTCTACTCTGGCCAACAGTTCGGCAAGTTCTCTCAAAAGAAAAGCTTTCTATATGGCAGGGCAAGGAGACATGGACTCCAGTTACGGAAATTACAGCTATGGCCAACAGAGATCGACACAGAGTCCTATGTACCGAATGCCCGACAACAGCATTTCAAACACGAATCGGGGGAATGGCTTTGACAGAAATGCTGAAGCATCATCCTTAGCATTTAAGCCAACAAAGCAGCTGATGTCCTCTGAACAGCAAAGGAAATTCAGCAGTCAGTCCAGTAGGGCTCTGACCCCTCCTTCCTACAGTACTGCTAAAAATTCATTGGGATCAAGATCCAGTGAATCCTTTGGGAAGTACACATCGCCAGTCATGAGTGAGCATGGGGACGACCATAGGCAGCTCCTGGCTCATCCAATGCAAGGTCCGGGACTCCGTGCAGCTACCTCATCCAACCACTCCGTGGACGAGCAACTGAAGAACACTGACACGCACCTCATTGACCTAGTCACCAATGAGATCATCACCCAAGGACCTCCTGTGGACTGGAGTGACATAGCTGGTCTTGACTTGGTGAAGGCTGTCATTAAGGAGGAGGTTTTATGGCCAGTGTTGAGGTCCGATGCGTTCAGTGGACTGACAGCCTTACCTAGGAGCATCCTGCTATTTGGACCTCGGGGAACAGGCAAAACACTACTGGGCAGATGCATAGCTAGTCAGCTGGGGGCCACTTTTTTCAAAATCGCTGGTTCTGGACTAGTTGCGAAGTGGTTAGGAGAAGCGGAGAAAATTATCCATGCCTCTTTTCTTGTGGCCAGGTGTCGCCAGCCCTCGGTGATTTTTGTTAGTGACATTGACATGCTTCTCTCCTCCCAAGTGAGTGAGGAACACAGTCCAGTCAGTCGGATCAGAACCGAATTTCTGATGCAGCTGGACACTGTACTAACTTCGGCTGAGGACCAAATCGTAGTAATTTGTGCCACCAGTAAACCAGAAGAAATAGATGAATCTCTTCGGAGGTACTTCATGAAAAGACTTCTAATCCCTCTTCCTGACAGCACAGGGAGGCACCAGATAATAGTACAACTGCTCTCACAGCACAATTACTGTCTCAATGACAAGGAGTTTGCACTGCTCGTCCAGCGTACAGAAGGCTTTTCTGGACTAGACGTGGCTCATTTGTGTCAGGAAGCAGCAGTGGGCCCTCTCCATGCTATGCCAGCAACAGACCTTTCAGCCATTATGCCCAGCCAGTTGAGGCCCGTTACATATCAAGACTTTGAAAATGCTTTTTGCAAGATTCAGCCTAGCATAACTCAAAAGGAGCTTGATATGTATGTTGAATGGAACAAAATGTTTGGTTGCAGTCAGTGATTCTGTCTTTAAAAAAAAAAAGTAATGAATGTTGGCACACACGTAAAACCTGCTACATAGGGAATAGAGCCCCTTTCCAGTAGAGTTTCAATTGCAAAGGGTACTGGGGAAGACAATGATTGCGTTGCATCTGTAGAGTCAGGGTAGCTTTGGAGGAAACATGCATCAGATGAGAGCCTCTGATTGGAAAGCCCCAGATGACAGAAAGCGTATGTATGTGGATGCTCAGATCGGTTCAAGCTAGAAAACACTCACCGAGACGCAAGGTGCAAGTGTGTTTACTTCAGAGGGACATGAACCTCGTGTGTTGATTCCATTCTGCTGTTGTCGAGATTTAGTTGCTGTCAAGTGCCTGGAGTGGTGCTTTATTTTTTTTGTTTGCCTCACAATTACATTGGTGGCATGTGCTAATATAAAGAGCTTTAACTTCAAACATTATTGGACTAAAGAGATGAACGGTTGTGTTACAACAGAAAACCAGATTTTTGCCATTTTAAGAGCAACAGTATTCCTCAATCCTGTCTGTTCTGCAGTGTTAAGCTAAGAACAGGTAAAACAGGGTAACGGTAATCTGGACCTTAATTTCTGCAGTTCATTTCTTTTAATGTTCTTGTCTGCAAAAACTCAGGAAAGTGATTGTGATTTGTACAGTACCTCAAAGGAATGTGTTAAAAGCACTATGTACTGCTGAGAGTAATAGGCTAGGCTTCAATGTTACTTTATATTAAAATGTATGTTTACCTCAACAATTGGAGAATAGCAAGGAAAATTACTTTGAATGTATCCGGAAAAATTACTGACGTGTGATACAACTGAATATTTACAATTTAAAGTAGAAATGGAAGGATTTCTTTTTTTTTTTAAGTTGTGTTAGGAATTATGGGGAATTTAACCAGAGCAGAACAATTACTAAAGAGTTCTTAATACATTGCTCTCCTTGATGATTAAATGAAATGTGGATAAAAGTTACACTGGTTAATTGAAAGCTATGTATTCAGTTTGTGTTGGTGTTTAGAGCAGTCAGCTGCAGACCTATTTAGGACCCTAAAAGCGACAGAACCTAAAAATTATAACTGCCTTTTACTGCCGTGGTAGAGGTAGTGGTGGTGGTTTTATTTTGGAAGCTCTCTCTCTTTAAACTGCTGGGAATGGTGTCATTCTATTCACTACGAGTTCCTAGGTTTGCTGTGCTGTTTCACAGAATGCAGAGGACAGAACCAAATCAAACACACAAATTAAAGAGGAAAAAAAAAAAACAGCAACCAACTCTATGTTCCCACAGAGAACCTCAACATGCCCCCTCTGCCTCCCCAATCTGGACTTCACTCTTCACAGTGCACTTTTGCTTCTCATCTCGAAACCCCGGCTGTAGTTCTCCCACGTTCATTTCTACCTCGGTTTCATTGCATTTCTTTTGGAAAGTCAAGTGAAAAATTAGACATGGACATGTCTACCGCAGTAGACCTTGCCAAATGTGGGGGTTTCTTGTTGTGTGGTGTTGTGAATTTTGTCCATCTTTTTTTTTCTTTCTTCTTTTTTCTTTCTTTTTTTTTTTTTTTTTTGCCATAATCTAGTTTCCCAAGGCACTAGTCTTCAATGCATGCTTTCCCTGCTGGACACAACCGCATGGCATATGTGGCATTTTTCTCACCACCACCCCCAGCTTTGCTCCTACTTCCCACCAGGTTGTCCTTTGTCTCCTGTAATGCGTGATGTGCAGGTTTTCATAGAAGGCTGGGCTGATGTTTGCCAAGGCCTCTCCTAGTCAAAGTACAGGACAGGGCTTTCCTCAGCCACTGCCTGTGCCGAAAGCAGAGCAGCCTAGCATTTTGAATGTATTTTCCTGGTTTTTGCCCCTACCTTTTTTTCGTTTGTTTGTTTTTTGTTTCGTTCTAATTTAGAGATGCAGTAACTGTTGCAAAGCACTGGCATTTTGTGTATTCAATAAGCGATGTACATTTTAAGGTATTTTAAATAAACGCAATGGCAGCCCCATGAAAGGTCTTTCTGTTATTTTTTCCCCTTCAAAAAGTTTTTTTTCCAAGCTCATCTATAAATTAATTCTCTGAAACACTTAACACAGAGAAAGTGAATGAGAAACTCGTGGTATTTCAAAATTTTGTGATGTCTAATTAGCAATCTCCCTCTTTGTTTTTCACATTGCTAAAATTGAGCAAATAAACTAGAATTTCATGTCCTCTGGAAGTCTATCAACTAACACTGTTCTTGAATATAAATATCCCATATTTGAAAAGCAGTGCCTTTCATTAAGGATACAAAAATGAAAACAATACTAAGATACTTCCTCTGATTTTCACAAATGAATTAATGCTATAGTCATATCCTGAATCTACCCTGCGCACTTCCTATGGTACCCAGGAGATTCTAATATCCACTAACTCATGGGTCCATATTGATCTCACAAGTTTACTTTTCTACACAGCACTGTTCTATCTTCTATTTTTAGACTTCGTGTCCACCAATATGCTGTGTTCTTTAAAAAAATCTGACAAGTTATGACAAATCCAATCTTCTTTAGTCAACTTTCAAGAACCCATTATTAACCTATGTTTTTTAGTGTGTGTTTTGCGAAAATTGATGCCAAATATATGAGGTGACAATTGTGTTTTGTTCTCACAATGCTGATAATAAACAGAAGTTATACATGTTGGCTTTTAGCTTTAAATGGCTTTAAGTTAGTTTGAGATAGGAGTGGTCTGAGATATATGTATTTAGCAGAAGCTGAAGTTACATGTAATTTCCACTTAGCCTAGGCAGGTCTAGTACTGTCTGTTAGCATACTTGGCAAGTTGAAGAGATGAAAGTCTCACACTCTACTACAGTTTTTAATTCTATGTGACATCCCTATAAACGCTTCCATGGACTATCCGAATCAGGACCTCTTTTCTGACCATCCGTTTGAGAGTGTGGGGTAGGACAAGTTCCAGATCTTCAGCAGTGAACATGTACATTGAATCCTAGTACAACTGAGTAGCTGTGCCTCATACTCTTGGCCTCCCATTGACTGCTTAGAATTGGAGGAGGTTCCTAATGAGTGTAAGGTAATGAGCCAGTCAATTCATCCCTGTCCAGGGTGGAGATTCAACCAGCCTACTTTACAACCCTGAATTCCCTTCTTCACAACTGTAATAACATTTCCAACAGGGATGAAAAGGAAGAAGGGGAAACTACATCAGTAGAAGGATCAATCGAAATTTAAGAGATAGTTCATAGTGACTTTATATGAGACACGAGTGAAAATGCTCTACACAGCCGGCTTGCTTCTCTCCAAAATATTGAGAACATTAGTGACTACATGGAGAACTTTGCTGACTATGCTGGTCAATGGAATGTGAAGGCAGTATACTTTAAGGCTATTTACTTTCACACAGAATGTTTATCTATTAGTCAGTTTGTATTCTACTCAAATGCAGATAGACGGGTATAATGTTTTCTTGTGCATTTGAAACCTATCAAGGAGAAAATAAACCATTCCACTAAAATACATAGGCCAAACACCATCTGGACAAGTGATAAAAGCTATCCAGAGGCTACATTAAATGCAAGGTCAATTTACATGGGTTGCCGAGTACTTGGCTATGCAGTTTTCAAAAGAATATATAAAAAAAAAAAGAAGAAAAAGAAGAAATCCAAATTAATCCTCACAATAGGTCATTGTAAATTTAAATATATTTCTGAGTTGGAAAAGATGTTTTAGAGGCATTTCGGATCTCTTTCTCTGAAAATGTATTCAACTTCAAGCAGAAAAACATTTCTGTACCCCAACTCTTTCCTGTTTTTTACCAAGAACTGAGAATCCTAATTATAAATCCATATTGCAGAGTGGAAGGCACATAGTTTATTGAACTGTTGAGGCCACTAAAGTTCTAATATATATAAATATAAATATAAGTATAATTAGTGTGTGTGTGTGTGTATGTGTGTGCTATTTCTACCACCACCTATTTGAACTTTAAAATGAATCAGTTTTTTTGCATTCTCCAAAGGCAACTAGTTTCTTCGTTTTTCTTATGTGCCAAAATACACATGACTACTTCAAAATTCTCATTTAATGTGACTTTTATCCTTAAGAAAATAAAAACGTTCAGTTTTGAATCATCTGCCGATTTAATGAAGCATATTAGCAAACATGGAACTGTTAGCATTTCAGAATTCACAACCAGCTGTACGTGTGACTAGCCAACACATGAACTAAAACTCACAGTCTGCCAAGACCTTTGGTTGACATTCGATTTTGAACCTGCCAGATGCATTTGTGTGAACCAGGGATACTGCATCTTTAATGAACAAGTCTCTCCTCTTTCCCCTGTTTTTAAATACAACACAAGTGGTGTAGCACTAGGCACTGCAATTGTCAAAGACAATTAGAGTGAAAGCAGGAAAATTTCACCTCCCTGTCTCAGTGATATGTAG